TGCACTTGAACTGAAAACCCCCAACAACAACGACTGGGAAAAACACTTAACTCCACCATTGAAGCATAATGCTTTAATAAAGCAAGTGAGGTCAGAGCACTAAGTGCACAGTTTAAAAAGGAAGACCGGCCACACTGAGACTATGTGTTGGGCATCTCCACAAGACTGTATGAAATATAAATCCTCAAAAGGTCCATAGACACGCTTGAGTTATCTTTTAAATTGATTGTTCAATTTTTACCTTTAATGTACCTAAAAGATAATACCCCACAAAATAAAACTGGAACTAAACTGCTAATAAAATGCAATCCTTAAAGAATATTAAAGAAAAACTCATTTTAAAAAGTGCAACTGAAGAACCCTTGGGTCAGTGGACAGCGTGACCATTCATAATGTCTAGGCTCATGTCCCACTGTTGCTGCAAGTCGGACAAATCCATGCTGGTCCCACTTGGTTGGCTTGGATGAAGGAACGGCTTACCACTTTTGAAAACAGTGCTAGAGGACAGTTCTCTGCATAACTGCTATCATCTCTCCAGCTGACAGCAGCCAGTACACACTGACTGACTGCCAAGCTCTTTATTGGTGCCTCCCTTAGGTGGCCCAAACAAGAACGTTTAGATTCATTTTGATAAGATGACCACATAAAATAGCACCAGCACTGAATAGCAAGGATTCTCCTCGAGAACTAAAATGACAAAACCTTAACATCTTTCCCTGCAGATTCGCACGAGCAGTTGTGTGTGTGGCCAAGTCTTGGTGTTTGTAATGAGTGTGTTGTGGGTGGGGAATGGGAGCGTACTCAGACAAACCGCCCTATGATCCACACATCAGGTGTCTAACTGTCCTCTCCTGACTAGAACTTCAAGAAAGCCACATAAAAAGCATGAATAAACTTGTCTGCCTCAAAACATTGGCAGTCCTTCTTTTCCTCCTACATCCTTCCCCACCTCCTCCTCCTCCTCCTCCTCCTCCCAGTCTGCTGGGTCTGAAGACGCTTCTCTGGGTCCTGTCTGTCTGCAGCTTCAGATACCGACATTGACAAAGCAACTCTATCACCACTTTTCATACACCTACTTTAGGGTAATAGTTTGTGTGGCATTTTTAAACAGCACTACTTCATTGTCAAATTAATCATCATGCCGCAACATGAATACACTAAGCAAATATTCAATGTGATTAGGCTTCTGTCTCACGCCAAACACATTTCTTCCTTTCACAAACAGGGTTTTCTAACTAACTGCAAAAGGCAACATTCCTGCCCTTACTACAGGAACTGATAATGGGATTTTCTAAACATATAAAAGCTTCTGTACAACTTACCTGCTACCATTAGTCTTAGAGCCGTGTGCTATCAGATCCATGGTTTTTATTTGTGCCTAAATAAATAACGACCTATAGCACGATGCACCTTCACAAGAAAAAGGGCCCTTTGGAAACTAATTCAGGTGTTGTTTTGGACACCTCTCAGGATGGACTGAAATAGATACAAGATACAGCAGACTTAGATGTTGTTGCTCAGGTGTGGCTGAGTTATCGACTTCTCTCCACTCATGTTCAATCTGGTGGAACAACCTTTGACCTCACAAACTGATGATGCTGACAGCTGGCTGAGGGATGGCCTCGGTCAGACGCCTCTACTGACCTGCCGGCTGCGGTTCATTGGTCACCAAAGGAATACTGCACAGCACGACTACACACATGTGTGAGGAGATGCATACCCAAACATTACCCGATGATAATGAACATGCAAGTATGTGTGTAGATGTGCACATGTTTTCACACGATCACACATACACAGAGAATATAAAAAAAAGACAAATAACTTGCTTGCATTCACTACTGAATGTCTAGACAATCCAGAGTGAAACCAATGTATTTGTTTATCAACGCTTACTAGGTGTTGATTAAATGGGGCAGGTATTTCTTCAGGCGCCCTATTAAAATATGTGCCGTTAGCTTTCAGTATTTAAATAGTGGGATGATAGTTGTTTACACTTTCATCCTGGCAAGAAAAAGTGGCAGAGCTGGCTCAACTGTTTACGATTCTGCTGCAATACTTTTATTTCAGAGCCAACCTTGAATTAAATTTAATGGCATTTTGATTATTGTTAAAAGGAATGTGAACACGGTGACATTAACAGACAGACGTGTCTAAACTGAAAACTGCTTTCATCGGAATAATAACATTGCAGACACTGAAAGGTGATGTCATTTCACAATCAATACTGACAACTTATTTTTCAATATCAATTCTATTCACTATTGATTATATTAATACATTATCTCCAGGCAAGTCTGAGATATATTGCGTTTACAAGAAGAAGTTACATTAAAATGAGCATTGACTTTGAAACCCAGAATTAAACCAGCTTTGAAGTACGTTTTGGTTGCAACGAGCCATTGGACATGATTAATCAGGATATAGCAAAAAAGAGACAAGCATAAACATGTCACTTCTACTAACTAATTGTATTTCGGAATCACAAATGGGTTTGAGAATCTGCTGGCCAATTTCAGTTTGCCAATGAATTTAGACTCCTTTTTCTAGACTTGCTTAAGCTGTGCATTCACAAGAATGGGATACTTACTGGCATAAACAATGTAGATATACAAACACTGTATTCAGTGCAAACACAGCATGGACAAATGAAAGCCATCTTCTTGACTTGTTTTAACCTGAACAAGGCCTCTCTCCTTCCTGTTCCAACACACACTAACACACTCACACAAACACACACACACAAACACACAAGCATATTTCTGTCCCCACTTGGAAAGCCTCTCAGCTTCTTTTCGCTTCATTCAGTACAAATAACTTCACGGTGGGATGAAAGCATAATGTTTCCAGAAAACCTCTTCCCCCCACTTTGCTTCACTCTGTTGGCCCCATGTTCTCCTTCACTTTTTCCTCCAACCCCCTTTTCTTGTGCTCTCTGTCCAAAAAGACATTCTTATTTCATTAGTACGGGGGGGTCTGGAAGGCCAAGAGGGTAAACAAAACCTCTGTAATCAACAGCAGGACATACACAACCACAATGAGCCAATCAGAGCACAGTGTCCTTTTAGTTGGAACTATGCATAACCAATACATATCCACACCTGGAACTCAAACTCAACACTGTGTGGCATTCAGAATGTAGCCTAGCACTGGGAGTCAAGGTTATCCATAAGACACACCAATCAAAGCATGCATGCCTGCAAAGACACTGATACACACACATACTCACAGATCCCCAGCTATATGTCTATCGCTGCTGTCCTCTATGTTTGCTCATATTAAGGAGGGCTCACTCAGGGACAGGATATGGGGATTAGGTCTGGCCTTATTGCGCTGTAGCTACACACCGCTAAATGGCTCCCATCTGTTCTCCCATTGAGAATGGCTAATACACGTTAGCCGCGCTCGTATTGTGCACTGCCAGAATAACAGCAGTGGATAGATGAGCAGGACTGATATCGCTAGCCACAACACCATTTTGTGCTAAAGGCTAATGTGCCTGGCTTATTCTATTAGATCGGGATAAGAAGTACTAATACGCAGACACGTGCATACACACACCATCACGATATCTGATTGAAGATACCGAAGCAGTAGGCGAGTCACGGGTCCAGCTCTAGGTTTACCTTGAAGGAGAATAATGTTAGAGCAGGGCAAGCTTAAATCTGGGGAGAGGTGGAAAGAACCGGAGTGATGGAAAAAGATGGAGGGATGGAAAGAGAGGGAGAAAGGGGGCAGTGTGGTCTGTTTCATTACGGTGAATCCTGACACTGCTGCATTCTCAGCACACATGGACTGGATTATAGGCAATGTGGGCTGCTCCGGCACAGTATAGCTCAGCAACGCTCTCTTGCACACACATACACACACAGACATTCAAATGCACACACAAACATCATAGCTAAACACACCAAAGCTTTACACTGCACATAAACCATTTGCTCACACACAAGCTATAGGACTCTTAATCCCAAAAGCAGCAGTAGGGCAAAGTGCACCACTACTAAGTCATTGAGGTTAGAGACAGAGTCTGCTTGTGATGGTCCACCTGTGGATTACTGGGGGAAAAGAATGAGATGCGCTGGAAAGTATGAGTATACCATGCTGCCTGGTTTTCTCTCATTCCCACACAAATACATAAGCATCTCTCTTTCTCTATCTCTCAGATGTACATTTATAAATCTCTCTTTTTTCCCCTCCTGTCTATCTTTGTCTCACTCACACATGCATTTGCTCCAAGAAAACAATCACCCCCCTCTGAACAGACCTCTTTCCACACGCATACGTTCAAAGGCATCCTGAGTCTATGGGGGGCTTCGATATAAAAAACCCAAAACAGGAATTATCCTTTATGACTCTGCATTCTTCATTTTATGCTTTTTCAGCTTGCAGCCTTAACAGAAAAAGCTTCATGACTGCTCTGTGTTGTATTGTAATTAACTACCCCACACACTGGCACAAAACAGGGTGGGGTAGCACGGTTAAACTTTACTACGCCTGAAAAAGTGAGGCGGGGAGGACAGACTTGTCCATCTCTGTTTTTTCTCACTGTGTCGTTTTTATCACCTACGGGCCCTGGTACGCGGGGCAGCTGGGTTTGTATTGGTCGAATACCACAGAGTTACCTATATAGCCACAGAGTGCACACACAGCATGAGGCACAACCAGCATATGGACATTAGTACTGTAGCACTTATAGAAAGGCAGCCATAAACCTCTGAATCAACTGAGGCCCTTTATTCGACTGAAATTCATAAGCAATGGGAAAAGGAGCCGGGTTCTATTACACTTTCTTCTGTCAGAGTTGGGTAATACTGTGGTTATTGTGGTGCCATCAGTGTTCCCGGCTAATGGTTACTTGAGCTCACTAAAGAACCCTTTTGTGTAGAAGACCATTAAAATATCTGCAGCTGATATACAGCATTACACCCTGGCAAGAAGTGCATTTACTCTAAAATTAGCAGATTTTCTTTACAAAAGCTGTGCAACAGAAAACTCACTGTGGATAATTGGATGCAGGGTTTCCATGGTGATGGTGATCATGCCCATATTCCCTCTTCATCGTCCTGTGAGAAAAACATGTGAAAAGAAGTCATCATCATTACCATTTACTGTACAAACTCTGGCCTAGTGGTTATGTCTTTATAAGTAGAGTCTCCTTGCCTAAAGCTATGGCCCTCCAAACCCCCTGTGGCTTTTAATCAAAACAGTCCTGTTCATGTTCCTAATTCAAAAAAAGTTGTGTGTGATATCATAAAATGCTTTCCTCAGTGTGATTGTCAGGAACCAATAACTAAACACACAAGGGGTTTCCTTGGGGCTGAAACTGTGCAGACAAGAGCCCTGCTAACAAGAAGGCTAATTCACTCAGACACTAACATTACAATGGTTAGCACGAGCTGGCAGCTCACTATAACCAAGCCCTTGCCTGAATAATGCTAAACTAAGCTACAGTAAAGGACAGTCCATGCTACACAAGAGTAAAAAACACAAGGGCCTTGGCTGCAGTCCACAGCGGCTTTGGTTGGACTGAGTGGTTGTGACAAGCTCGGTAAACTCAGGAGGCTACACCTAAGCAGCTAAGCTATAGATATAATGGCCTTTCAATGGAACATGCTAGATGGTAAATGCTAAGATGCAGTGAATGGCTGTGACAGGCCCTGTAAACAGAGCCAGGCATATGACCACTCATTCTGCCAGGTTACACGCACACACACACACACACACACACACACACACACACACACACACACACACACACACACACACACACACACACACACACACACACACACACACACACACACACACACACACACACACACACACACACACACACACACACACACACACACACACACACAGGCACAATACTATATGCTTCTTCTCATAAACCTGTAGCAGGCAGCATGTTAAGGCTTTGAGAGAAAAAACAACCAAAGAGAAAAGGTTGTATAATTCTTTCTCTGATAAACACTTGCTGTTTTCTATTTCCTTCTGAGGCTGCTGCCAAATATCTGGCAGCGGTACTGGCATGGCTAAATGGGAACAACATGAACACAACATGCCCGTCAAACTGCACACAATCCATGCTGAGACACAGACCTGGGGTTCATTTTAAGAAGCTAAATCCACTTCCTGTGCTTGTCTCTTTTGATTAGGTTTCACCTGTCCTCACATGAAGTCCATCAAAAACAAATGAAGGACAGGGAGTATAGTAAGAGGATTGAGATGGACCAACTAACCATAGCAATGAGCTTGGAATGATATGCAGTTTGGCTGCTTTAAAGACCTTGAAATGTGTTCTTGCGTTTGTGTGTCCACTTTTCCAGTGCATACATTTGTGCTTACGTGTCTTAAATGTGCCATTTGGGTGTGGATGCGGTGTGGATGCGTCTGTTTGAGCAAATGCATATGCAAATGCGAAAAAAGGCAACTGTGGTCACTGATATGTTTTTCATGGCACTAGCTGTATCTTGGAAAGGCATTGCGGTCTCTAGGTTGAGCGTGCAGACCCTCTTTATCATCATTATCATCATCAATCATCTTTCCAGTGGTGTTCGTAGACCAGGCAATGCACTGAATCACTGGCCTTACGACACTTGCATATTGCATTCAAAATGGGATAGATGGAGGGAGAAAGGACTGAAGAACGAATAATGAAAGGGACAGCAGAGGTATAGAAGGAAGAATGTGGGTAGAGGAGAAAACAAATGGGAAAAAATAAAAGAGTGGTTAAAGTATAGTGAAGAAGAGGTAAGTGACAGAAATAAGGAAAGCATAAGAACAAAGTGTTCAAGAAAAAACAAATGGAGTAATTCACCACATTTGAAAGAGGGAGATTAAAGGAGTCCTGTGTTTGGAGGGAAAACAGTCTCACAACAGGGACTTCAGTGACATCCAGACTGTGTGACCTGACAACCCCCATCAGCAGTACACACACACACACACACACACACACACACACACACACACACACACACACACACACACACACACACACACACACACACACACACACACACACACACACACACACACACACACACACACACACACACACACACACACACCCTGACCTCGGCCGAACTTCCCCATTAAGGTCAAAGATCAGATATGAGGAAAAGCCACGAGGTGATTGGCTGACCTCTGTCAACACTGTCCGTTGTTTTTGAAGTGTGTGTGCTTGGCACAAAAAGGAGAGCGAGCGAGAAAAAACGTACCTAAATCATATTCAGTTAAGCCTGAGCTTCTGTACAAAAGTGCAATGTGTCAGCAGACTACATCTATGTGATTTGCAAATGGACATATTTGTTGGCCTCGTTTTAAATTGAACATATGTGTAATGTACTTCTATTGTTTCCCCTTTTAAAACCAATTTGACTTTATTTTCACCCTGAATGTATGAGCCATCAAATTTCCCTTTTATAGACGCAAACATTCTACTTTATTAGATAGTATAATTCAACCAATAGGCCTGGATTTATGAGTTATTTTTGTTATTCCCTACATTCTTAACAAGACTTCCCAGAAACGAACACTCTTCACTTGCAGAGAGCTACTTTTTCCTATTTCAGTCTATTAACACTGCCACAGTAAAACAGTGTTGGGTAGCCATATTGAAGGAAAGACATCAATAAGAAATGTGAACAAAACAGTGACCCCCCCTGCAGCTCACTGTTTAGTATGAAGCCTGCCATGGTTGCCAACTATTCTGCAATACCTTAGTACAATGCAGGGACCTTAAAGCTTGCCAATCAATTTGTCAAGTCAGTTCAAAAGCACATCACAGCATAACCCAATGACAGCACAATTTGAATTTAAAAGTGTTCCTGGTTAGATGATGCAAAATGTTCAAATAAATATACAGTACTGCGTGAGATTGTGATTGAAAAATGTGCATATATCAACCACAGACCTTAGCATTTAAGAATACAAAATAGAGTCTATTCTATAGGGGTTAAAGGCTAAAATATATTTAAAACCAGCTATCCTATTCTAGTTTAAATATTGTCGAGAAATGTGTGGGTTGATGCAAGTACATCATTGTGTGCTTGTATGCATGTGCGTGTATAAGGATGTATAGGACAGGGGATCCCCAGTGCATGTTTGACTTTCATTGAGCAGCAGTGTCAGCAACTTAAAGTCTAGAAACGTGTTATGGTGCATATTAGATAGAACAGATGTTCACATTTATACTCAGGTGGAAATCCCCAGGTATTCATCTTCAATCCCCAAACATACATACACAAACACACTTCGTTTTGATAATTTCGGAAAATCCCCAATCACAACGTCATGACAACAATAGAGCTGTGATGAGTTTATTTTCCATTCACATAACTAGAAGATGTAATCAGCTAATGGAGTTAAATCATATCTGTCTTTCTTTGAAGAGTACTTTCCCCTGGTAGGGATGTCATCTGAGTACATAGTATCAACAAAGAATCAGGTGTGCACCGCCATGTGCATTTACACAAACAGACACAGGCATGCACACGTCTACAGTATGCACACTTGGATGTACGCACACTCACACCAACACTATGCTAATAACAACAGCAGTTTGTGCTTCTTCCTTAGCGCTCCTCAAATTGACACATTAAGTTTGTCCTCAGGGTAGTCTGGATATGATACACAGAGAGAGGGAGCTCATATACTGTAAGAGATTAATGATACATAAACTAATCTCACACACAAATCCCATCGATCAAAAACATTCATTTGGCAGATTTTCCCTTCAGGCCCCTTATCTTAATGATATGAATAACTCTAACTTGGCAGGAAGTATTGGGGTTGAAGGAGAAGAGACACAGGAGAAGTGAGAGGGGACATTTTAGGCTGCTCAGTCCAACCACAACTGACTCGTGATGGAGATGACAAATATAAAATTGCTCCAACTTTAAAAGCATGAAGATGAAAGCCTACCACATGTAAGCTTGTGTAAACAGGTCCAAACTGTCTGGTGTGTGAGTGTGTGTCTGTGAGTTTGTGCACATTCATATTGACCTGGTCCATAGGGGGTCGGTGATTGGCATGGGGGGGCCCTCTTGGCAGGCTTCGGTGATGCACGTTGGCTGGATGCATATGGTGAGAATGGTGAGGATGATGCTGGGGGTGGATGTGATCTTCCTCATAGTTATCCGCTATCAGCTTCATTCTGCTCTGAGTCTGCCAAACAAAAGGAGATAGAAAAGAAAATGTATAACCCACAATTATAAAACATTCATTTCTCCAACACTGCTTATTTGTTTCGTAAAATGTTCTTTGGGTCTTAGAATGATTAGGCTGAGGGATTCTTGGATGGCGGCAAAGCATGTTGAAAGCCATCAAAGATGATAAAAACAGTGCCGCTAACAACACTTGACAGGTCATAAATTGAGTGAGTCGGAGTGCCTGATGAAGTCTGTCAAATGTCATCCATATTGCAGATTATAGTTTAATTGGATTAGACGAATCCTAGTAAGAACAGTTACTGAGTGTTTCATGTAGCCCACAGGCTTTCTGGCTTGGGTGAAGCAACCTCCTTTTAGATGTCATTGATTAAAATTACACACAAATATGTATCTTTTTCAGAACGCCTGTAAATGGGTAAGCAAGACTATGTGTCCTTTGTTTTGTATTGTGCAACTGTGTGTATTTGTGTGAGCGTTTGTGGAAGAAGCTGTCATACTGCCAACATCACTGCTTTGGAAGGAGATAACAGCCGAGGCTGACTAACGTTAACAATCAGCCTAAGTCCATTGAGGCCAGCTGTCTAAAAGATAGACCGTGACTGAGTGGGTGCAGATACATTGACAGGCTCAGCTTTATTCCCAGATACTTCCCCTGAGGGCGTACACGACTGCAGAGCGGGAGGTTGGATTGTGTATGGAATGAAGATGATTCCAAGGAAAGACATGCACACATGTCGAAATCCAAAATGTTGCTGCTTTCCTTTTTTCAAATGAGAGACAGCCATGGCAGGAAGAGAAGAAAAGCCTGAGTCAGCTGAAGGATAGGAGGGAGATGGCATTACAGTAGTCAGCGGCCTTGGGACATCACTGCTGAGATAAGGAGCAGAGGCCTAAATGATTGAGGAAACGAGCCAGTCAGGATCACAGGAGAGGATGTGGCTGGCATTAAAGAGGTTAGCAATTAGCTTAACTTGGAGAAGAGCTGCTCAGATAAGGCGAGAACAGTGACACGGTGGTGAGAGGGAAAGAGAGAGACAGAGATAAATATGAAGAGTGAGGGATGGAGGAGGGCCCAGACAAACACCAGACCAGTGGTTAGAGCAGTTAAAGGCTGGGTTGAGGTGTACGGCCCTCCGTGACCTCAGGTGTTGACACTAGCAGGTGTGACTGGGTGGGGCTTGACTCAATGCAACAGTTACAGGGCTGAGATCTGTCATTACAGCTAGGACAATTACTATCATATACCATGCAGCTGATGTAACTACTGCTACACAGTACATGTTCTAGGGGCTCCCAATGTTTACAATTATGTTGAATTTTAATCGATAATGATGTTCAAAACGTTGCTATATGTAGTCAACGGTAAGAAGGGCAAATGTGTGCTTAGTCCTCAATGCTAATCTAATTAAAAAAAACTACAACTTGTTCCGGCCATCTAATTACAAAAAGAATGTGTAGGAAGGGAAGCCAAATGTCTCTCTACATGTGTGTGTTGTGTGTGTGTGTGTGTGTGTGTGTGCACATTTACATTTAATGACCTGAGACAAAAACATTAATGAATGAAGTGATGAATTGCTTCTGGAAGAAACTGACTGTGTGGTCACGATAGCCCACATGTGGCCATCTAGTTTATTCAAACAGACACACACACACACACACACACACACACACACACACACACACACACACACACACACACACACACACACACACACACACACACACACACACACACAGATCTCATACTTTTTTTACAGACATATTCCGTTGTGCATGTGCGGAGGTGTGCACATATAAAATGACTGTGTGGTGGAATGTGTGTGTTTTAATTAGTGTTAATTATGGCCTTTGCAGAGTAAACAGCTCAGTAATGACCTCCAGGCCCGCTTGTACTGTAGATCCTGGAATAGTCACAGGTGGCACTGCTGGGAGAGGAGAGGAGAGTTTTTCATTGACATCCCCAACCATAACAGATTTGAACTGTACTATGTGTGTGCGTGAGGTTCCTCTGCATGTGTATCAAAGTGTAGCTGCTGGTGTAAACATGGCAGTGATGATCCCGCTGCTGTGCTCACAGCTGCATCCCAAACCTCAATCCAAGCTGTCAGTAAATCAAAAGCCTGTCCTGATTAGAGCAGAGCTGCATTAACACATATGGAGGCATGAGGCTGACAAAAAAAGGCCATAAACACACATGCGGCTGGGGAAAGGCTGCACACCATTCACAACACTTATACATACTCCTTTAATCAAATCTGTGTGTGTGTTTCTGCGTTGCCATGCTATCCCAGTAAAACAGAGTAACACAGACAAAGCAGGCGGGTCGTTTTACATTAGTTGTGCAAAATGGCACACCTCTGAAACAAAAAAATCCATATTTTCAGCAGAGAGAGAAGATAAATGCCCAAGTCTCCTTTTTGGGAGAACGAGAGAAAAAATTGAGAAAAAGTCCCAGAAAATGGCACACCTCTGAGGATGCCAAATCCATCTTTCAGCTTCAAAGCACGTTTAGCCCTCCATCATTATGATGGGAACACTCAGAGAATTCCCACATGGGGACAGATTAGTTCTGACTCTCTCCTCAGGAAGTCTAAACACTACACTCTTCATGTGTGTGTCTGTGCATTTGTATATGTGTGTTTGTCTGTGCTGAAGAAGGCCTATGCCTCAGAGGGAAGCAAACTGTCCGAGAAAGAAAAGTTTGTCTTAGACCGCCAGCTTTTTGCAAACACACTGACACACACACACACACACACACACACACACACACACACACACACACACACACACACACACACACACACACACACACACACACACACACACACACACACAGAGTGGACTCCTACAATCCTGGACGATATGGAAGAAGACATGTTTTTCTGAAGAATGACTCAAAAATAAAGTGTCAATGAAGCATACATAAAAATAACATGTTTTTCTGTAGTTAAATTGTCCTTGACAACAAATCCACTTGTGTTGGGTCTATTGATGACTTAAAGGTCCCATGTCATGGCCATTTCTACTGATCGTAATTCCATTGTTGAGGTCTACTAAGAATAGATTTATATTGTTCAATGTTCCAAACTCACATTGGTTTCTCATACAGCATCTCTGTATAGTATGTGTATTCACTCTCTGTCCTAAACGGCTTGTTGGAGCTCCTGCCCCCCCCCCACCCTCCCTGTCAGCCCACTGTGCTCTGATTGGTCAGCTCGCCCACTTTGTTCTGATGAGTCCACCACCGTTACAGCGGAACATCAGTGATTATGTGTTACAATGGCGTTAGTTAGCAACCAGGAAATGACACCAGTAATGACAAACAGATGACTGCATGGGGTCTGGGTGCCGTGTTGGCGGGACGTTGCCGGGCTCGCTGCTCCGCCCTTTGAGGCTCGAGGAGCGGACAGTGTGAGCTGGATTACTGGTGCCACACACTCACAGCCTGAGAAAAGATAAGGCTGAGTGAGTGTGTCTGTGTGAGGAGCTCCACAGATTGGTCCATTTGGTCACTGTGACCAGGAAGAAAAAGAGAAATGTCCAACGAGGTGTTCTGGGGCAGCATAGACAGGTCTTTTCTGTGTTAGAGTTTTACTCCCTACAGGGTGTACTTTGAGGGTTTGTGACTCTGCAGACTGTTTACATGCAGAAAAACCTTCATAACACACAAGGGGACGGGTAATAACCGGAAAAGCATGACATGGGACCTTTAAGTAATTTTTTTTCTCCCATTTTATTGACATTTTTACACCTTTTTGTTTCCTTGTGTCTCATTTTGGTAACTTATTATGGCTGTTTGCGGTTATTACAAGTATCATTATGGCAATGTTTTCACTCTTTTTGGTCACTTTGTCTTTCTTTGAGGTCATTTTTAGTCTCATCCTAGTGATATGTGTCTCTTTTAGAATAGAAATGATTCTGTTTTACTTGTATATAGTTAACCTCTCTTGCATTAGTCTTGCAACATTCTCTTGCATTAATTTATGTTCTACTCTGAACATAAATTGTGAATTTTAAATAATTTAACTACCGAATATTTTAACACAAAACTATAAAGATAATTGTTATTTATCAAGATCTAGCCATTTATGAAATAGCTTTCTTAATAGCTATGTTTTAGTAACGTTCAAGATCATTAAACAGGACTTCAATTGTTAGTATAACCTTAAGAAATGAATTGCACATAATAATTCCCACGGAGCTGTGACCACTTATACATTTATGTGACGCTTTTCCACTCATTCTTCCAGTTCTCCGTTTTCCTCTCTTGAAATCGACCAGCTGTGAAGGTGGGGGCGGGGCTTTTATACGCGAGTAGTGAAAACACTTCCGGTAGTCTGCTCTCATGTATCCTCCATTTCGTCTCCTCCCTCACCCCTCCTCGACTCCTCCGTGTGCATTTCAAGTATTGGGACGTCCTTCAACATGGCGTGTCTTGATCGATTTGAGTCGAGGAGGGGTATTGAGATGAGCCTCATGTCATTATAGAATGTTGGCAGTGTTCCGATGACATCAGATGTTCCAAGTGCTTTTATCTGCTCGTGACATCATCATGACATCACAGGTCATTCCAAAATAGTTAGCAAATAGGACCCAGGCTCTGAGTCAGCACAAACAACTTTTCTTCAGAGTGACCTGACACATCTTGAGCAGAGACACACCAGTGACAGACTTCATCCACACACAAAGCAAGGAAATATTCTACCTGCTAAAGATGGAGCGAGGGAGAACCCATAGGATGGCCCTGGGCCCCCACACCGTGCAGAACTCACACAGAGAGCAGAACAATATGCTCAAGCACGAGCCTGCTAACAGTTTTGATGCTAACTCAAGGCTCAGCAGAGCACTGGAGGAGGCTAAACGAGAGCTGGCTCGTCAGAAGTGCGTCAACCAAGAGATCCTCAACAGCAAGAAGGAGGCACAGGAAGAACTGGACCAGACTACATTGCAGTTAGGTCAGGAGAAATCCCTCAAGCTGATGCACACCAAGAGAAGTAGGTCTATGCATAAAGAGCTGGACAGGCTGAAGAGGAGCTGTAACCAAGACGACGTCAGCAGCTCCAGGATTGCAGCTATCCAGAGCAATTGTCTCAGGGAGAAGAAGAAGACGGTTCTTCGGGAGGATTTTGAGGAGCTCAAAGTGGCGCATATTGTCACTCAAGCTAAGCTCTCAAAAGAGCTGCAGTTTGAGAAAGACAAGAGCGCAGCTCTTCAGCGAGAAGTTGAACAGCTGAGACATTCCTCACCAAGCTCCCAGATGAAGAGGCAGAGCCCGAAGATACAGTGCACTAGGGCTGTGCAATTAATCGTATTTTAATCGCAATTACGATTTTGGCCTGCCACAATTACGAAAACAACATAATCGAAAAAAACAATTATTTAGCTTTGCTAGGTTGTGACACTGCAACATATTTGATCTCATTAATTGTAGTCTAATTTATTTGTATTTATCATATTTATATATGTTTAGTAGCTTGTGGAAGTGCGCTCCAAAATATTTGTTGATCTTGTTTATTGGTATTTATTATTTTGCTATTATTTATTTAAATGTTCATTTATTTTTGTATTGGTTTTTCAGTTGAATTATACCTTCAGGGTAATCAACAGTTAAAGGTGGGGTAGGTAAGTTTGAGAAACCGGCTCGAGATACACTTTTTGTTATATTCCATGGAATGCTCTAAACATCCCGATAGCAATGAATATCTGAAGTGCTTTGACAAAAAATCCATAAAAAAATGTCATCTGTGGAAGCCGTGGTACTGTAAAAAGCACGACCAATCATCTGAGCCGGCCCGGCTAAAATAACTGGATGGCCTACCTGCCTGTCAGCCTTCCATCTGTGCACAAACTCATCTCGTGCCCTCATTGGTCATGTGCACGTTCGTGTGTGTTGGAGGAGGGGCTCTGTAAGGAAGTGGCAGATTTTCTCCGGTTGTGTATTTTCAAATTCTAGCGCACTCGAGCTGGTTTCTCAAACTTACCTACCCTACCTTTAAAAAGATACTGTTCAAATTATTATTTGTATTTGTTTTAAAGTTCAATAAATTGAAGTCAATGAATAATCGTATTTAATAATCGTGATATCAATTATTGACCCAAATAATCGTGATTATGATTTTTACCATAATCGCACAGCCCTAACACACACACACACACACACACACACACACACACACACACACACACACACACACACACACACACACACACACACACACACACACACACACACACACACACACACACACACACACACACACACACACACACACACACACACCACACACACACAAGATCTTCCAAAGGAGGGATATGGGGAGGTCAGACAGGGCACTGCTATCTGAAAATCTATCTGCTGTCTACAGATCAGCTTTCTCCTAAGAGGGTCCGAGTCCCATAATTCTTTGGCATTTCCTGATCAATTTCCTTCCGCCATTGGCTGTTGTGGACCTTAGGAAGGCAACCTATCCTGATATGTGTGTCAATGGGTCAGCAGACAGAGACGGTGTATGTCATGTTGAGCAACAAAACCTCCAGGGAGCTCACTCAGCCAAAATGGAAAGAAACCAAGTAGATATTTCTTATAGGAGCTTCTTACCTTACAACCTCTTCGACAATAATTTATGATACAGTCTCTGAATATTTCGACCCAGGTACTAGGTGGCCAAAACAATGAATGCCTGGCACATCGTTCCACTAAGAGATAGGGATGCACTGATCCGACTTTTTACTTCCTGATACGATACCTGGATTTTGGGTATCGGCCATTACCAAGTACCAATCTGAAAGCAATATTTAATAAATTAACTGCAACAAAAGGCTTGACTCAAGCCATTCCTAACATTCTAAAAAACAATGTAACAAATATATACATAGATACAAATATATTGGTGCAACCCTTCTAAGCAATAACAATTACATGGATTCATGCATGTGTGCCAGAAAACTTTCCAAGAAACCAGGTTAGCATGTATGGGAAAGAGGAGAGAAAGCAGCTTTATGCTGCCCATCCCTCTCGTCTCACATCCCTTTCTTTTCTTCTTCTCTTCTCCCCTTTTCTGCCCCAGGCCTGGAGGCTTCATCGTTGCAATTAGAGCTCATCACATCAACAGGTGGACTGTAACTGCTGGTTGCAACGGGAAAACATGACGCATCCAATGGCGATCAACAGATAATAGGCTTTCCTTGAAATTCCACGAATGGAATTGCACCCCCTAGGAACTATTTACTGTTTACGAGACACGAACAAAGATCCGCATACAAATACACACAGCCACTGCATCTGTTGACTTTTAAATGCACCATGTTTCCCAGAAGCCCCCCGTGACTCAGTAGACCGTATATGCGGACTCCCTGCTGTTGGCTCATTATAGTTAGCATTCACTTTAGCTCAGTCACTGATGTGGTCTGACCAGACCTTAATGACCCACATACCTTCATCAGCCTCTGGTCATATTGAGAGCCAGGGCAACATGGGAAATAGGTGCGTAAGTATGTGTGTGAGTGTGTGCTGGGAATAATGTCTGTTTGACCAGAAGATGTAAGACAGAAAGGTCCGCCGTTGAATCATCAATGATACCAACCCACGCCTGCATCTTGAGTAAATCTAATCACTCTGATTGCAACATGATTGTTAGGAGAGTCACAGCTCCTGCTTCACTGGTTTGGCTTACGATGACTGAACACCAGTAAGTGTGGTTGGAGGCTGGGAAGTCCACTCTGTTAACTACCAGGAATTAATTTACCTCTATCTGTTCCTGGTTTCACAGTTCAAAAGTCTGCCCATGAGGCTGTTTAAGTGTTTAAGTGCAGGTAAGGCTTCATCATCTGCAGCAGGTTTGAATTTGTAGTCCTGCTTTGATTCACATGTCCTAAACAGTGACCGCAGGGCCAGGCTCCATTTGATTTATGTGCAGACCAATCAAGCTCTTAGACAAGGGGAACTGTACATGTAATTCAATGTTTATATGCATATATAAATATATTGGTGGTCTCGAGCGGTGGATTTACCTGCTGTTTGAGCTGGTGCATGAGCCTGTCTTTCTCCCTCTTCAGAGCCATCACTTCCTCCTGAGATTTTTTCCGTTTGGAAGAGGATAACTCAAGCAGGGCGATGTTTGCATCCTTCTCACTGATGGCTGCCAGCAAAGCCTGCTGCCTGAGAGGATGAGAGCGGGACATGGGGAAATAGAGTGAAGAGGAAAAAAGTATGGTTATTGATGATAAACGAAACAGTTAACATGTATTTTACCCCAAAAAAGGACTGTAGAATGGTGTTTAATGGTCAGAAAATATACACCTTAATATGCAGCTATGGGCCTTTGTCCGTAGGCAGATGTCACAGCAAACCCACTCAATCCAGAGATTCTTAAACTCAGACGGAGCTTCCACAGAAAATGAGCAGACATCTTTGAAGTGGTTTGCTAAGTGCTGTATTAGTGTTCCCTCAGAGTGACTCATGGACATGTAATAGTGTAATGGAGTATAAAAGAGTAGGCTGAGGAGGATATGACATCTTTCCTCTGTCCCTGCTGGTTACCACAATGTGTGTGTGTGTGTGTGTGTGTGTGTGTGTGTGTGTGTGTGTGTGTGTGTGTGTGTGTGTGTGTGTGTGTGTGTGTGTGTGTGTGTGTGTGTGTGTGTGTGTGTGTGTGTGTGTGTGTGTGTGTGTGTGTGTGTGTGTGTGTGTCTGTGTCTGTGTCTGTGTCTGTGTGTGCGTGCATGTGTGCGTTGGCAACAAATGACTGTCTACAGGTGGGGAGAAAACATACCACAAGGCTTCATCATACACACACAACCAGACGTCTTGCGCAACCCTACGACAGACGTAAAAGCCTTTGGAGTAGTTTGGTGATGACTATCGTCATCAAGCAGGATGTTTTAAATCCTGTGTTGTGACAAACATTTTACACGGCTTCTCTGGTAAACACACGAGCACAAACACATTTGCAAAAAAAGCCAGATGCACACAACTGCTGTACTATGGCTATTGACTGATTGATTGAAAAATAACAAAATGGCCTGTAAAAAAGATTTCAGCCTAAGTTTATCTGAATGACCATCTGAGAAGTCTCAAGCTGTCTTACTAGTTTGTAGGCACTGAAGCTATTTTAAGTTGGATAAAATGACGTGACTGAACTCCAGACTCTGAAACCACATTTAAAATTAGACAGGCATTAAACCAACACGGTAAGGTAATGTTTGGATTTGTGTGAGGTGATGGGTAAAGTAAGAGGAGGAGGAAAAATACACTTTGAACTCAATTAAAAATTGACCTGGATCGGAGTGTTTTTATTCCATGATTTAAGTCCCTGCAGAAATAACTGAATTGAGAAAATAAACATGCTGAACTCAGAATAAAGTCCTGCCGGCCTGGGACTCCACATTTGGTGTTTTTAGTACAATTATCTGCACGTCGCATCTGGATTCTCCCATTCAGGGCCATTAAAAGGCCTCTGTGTTTGTGTGTGCTTGTATGTTGTGCATGCATTTGCACGTGCATGCATGTGGGTTATGACATGGATCGGAGCAGCTAATCACACCATTAATCACAGAGCAGGGCCAAAGTGACACTTTTCATCCCTCTACACCTCCACTGTTATTCCTTGTAATGCTCAGTGTAATGGGAATACACGTACCCACACATGCACAAAACCCTACACACAGACACACAGACCTACATTCAACCAGAGCAAGTGCTTTTGACTACAGGACTATTCTCTTTGAGCTGGCCATTCATAATGTAAAATGCCTCCAATTATTGTTAAGGAAATCCACTGATATATCAACAAATGAAACAACAGTCCATTCTTACTTTCCCTGACTAATAAACCCAAATCATTATTTTTGATGGCACAGTGGCAATCCATGTTACATTCTTTTATCTTTGGCTGTGTCAAATAAATTAAAGAGGTGATGCACAGAGACATATATGGACAAGGAATGTGGCACACTGTGTCACTGTTCATAAACAATGTGTCAGGTTAACAGCCTTAACTTGTTCGCCAGTGGGCCATCTTTAGTACACACTGCTAGACATGGAAACTCCAACTTTGGATATATTGTCTCAAATGTTTCCCTAATCTATTTTGTTTAACATAACCTGAAAGCTTCTAAGTCAGGATGTGACTCTTAGTGTAGAATAAATAACTGCAGACTTAACTGGAAAACTATTTTAGAATACTTCAACAATGTAAGTAGGGGATATTAAGTGCAGGGTCAAATAGGTTGATGAAAGAGTGCGGTGAAAGGTTAGGGGCTCTCACCCCCACCCCGGTTTTAGAGAGGAGGTTTATCTAATCTGTGAACTCCTCTGAAAAAGCCAAACAAAGATCCATCTTTTTCTGACCACCACTTAGTCACTTCATGAGGGATTGTTGCACTCCCATTCATCAACTGCTGAATTGATGACGGACACAATGTGGCTGTTTGATTACTTACTAAAAAAAGATAATAATGAAGTGTGTAACAAACCGCAGCTAAAAAAAACTAACATGAAAGCCAAGTCTCCTCTGTACATTCTGACAATGTAATCATTGTATTTAGCATTGTAGCAATTGCAGACCTCTACAAGGAAGCTACAATAATTACTGTATGTTGTGTTTTTATGACGGAAAGGTGTTCTGCATCACCCCTGCATTCCCTAGCACAGGTACAAACTTTCCAACTGAAAATGATTGATAGACCCTGAGACAGTTGTGAACCCGACTAAATTAAACCCCCAAACCAAAGTGGTTGCCATGCATCAGTGCAGGCTAAATCACTTCCAGGCTCTAAATTAACACAGTCGATTACAGAGCTGTCTCTCTGTGGGTGCTCTCCTAGTGGTACTGCAGGATTCTGCTGAGTGATGTCTTCCTAAAACAATAAAAGCGGGGCATTATTATGATAAGCAAGCCTGTAAATGTTGTCTCCCACATCCTCAATCAGTGGTTGAGTGTGTATGTGTGTGTGCTGATTAGTATTACTTACAGTCTTTGAGCCTGAATCACACTGGAGTATTTAATCACATCTAATTTGAGTGGCCATTTGACCTTAGTTTTAGTCCACACTGCAATGTACATGAATCTAGCAGACAGGGTTCATCTTTTAGACAAACACAAACAAACACACACACGCACAAACTAAGACAAATGCTTGCCCTGTATCTACTGGCTGATCTTGAGCTTGAGTGGGTGAACCCTCTCCCTTCTCTCCCTCTTGTCTCACTCCCTGCTTAACTTAGCCTTGGCGTGTCGTGGACAAACAGAGGATTATCTCCATTTCCTTTCGGAATTGAAAGGGCAGAAATTAAATGGTTTTTCATGACAAACTTGTAATTAGTCTTCATAAAAGTCAGACCCCGTGCACTGAGAAGTCATAAGGTTCTCCAATAAAAAGACAAATAAATCCCATAATCACTGCTGGATATTTGGTCTAAAAAATCGTTCTTACTTTAGTCTTTCTATGAGATAACGGTATTTTAGCTGACAAGTTAAACACAATGTTTACATAAACAGTTGTGCATTCATGTATGTAAATATCATAGTATTTACTTAGTGATATAGAGTAGTATTATAGAGGGGGTATGCAAGCCTCTGTGGAAAAAGCATAGGCAGGACTGACATCTTATTTATAAGGGGTGAAATTCTCAGCTCGACTACAACATGTGATTCCAATTGAACCTTCATGGTCCCTGGGACATATTGAGACATTTGGATCTGCAGAGGTGGGAGATGGATGGCTAAAGTACATGACCATGCGATGAGAGATGAGATGGAAAGGAGGGAGGGGGGAGAGGGGTCAGCAGAGACGATATGGAAAGAAAAACTGAAATGAAAAAGGTGGAATAAGTGAAGGGTAAGGAAACGTCAGGCGGGACGAGACAATTATGAACAAAGGGATGAAAAATGAGGAGGGAAGACCGGGGCTGGAGGCGGGGCTGCTGTCTACGGACTGTGATGTCACAGTGCAGACAGGACACTGGCAGGTCAGACAGATTTCTGGGTGACAAAGGGTTAAGATGGGGTCAAGAGTAAGCATAAACACACAAACGTATACATTTGCACAAAGCAATTTCAAAGAAAGCGGACGTTAGGAAGAACCAATTGCTCAAGAAAATATATATAAAAAAGAGATGGCAAGAGATGAAGGCAATAGATAAGAAAGAAAAGTATGTGTTTGACAAGAGTGACTACCACCTGTGCTGCATGCGGGGGGAAAGAGGGAAGAAAATGAGAGAAGGAAGGGAAGAAAAGAGCAAAGGTAAAGATTTAAGAGCCCTTGCCTACACTAAATCAGCTCAGCGCACTCCATGTTGTTATTCCGAGGCGTCACGGTTGAAGGATATGTGTTTATAATTTGTGTTATGACTTACTTGAAATTATGAGTGTGGAGAGTCAGAGGGACAGAAACAGATGCGTCCGTGTGATGCCCGAGGGAACCATCAATACTGTCTGCCCCTAAGTGCAGTGTGTTCATGTGTGCATGCATTTGCCTGCACACATTTGTACGTACATTTCCTCATGTGCATGTGTGATGTATTTTGTTAGCAAGAACATGGGGAGCCCACTAATGTGTGTTCCCAGAACATCCATTATGAATCTTCTAGTTTTTGATCATGCCCTTGCACCACTTAACTGTCCGACTCTGCAGAAACATTGCACTTGCTTTTATGGCTGTTCCTTGATTGTGAGTGTGTGAAGGTGCAGCACAAGGCTGAGGGCCCCTGGCTAAGCGGTACTAGAGGCCTGTGGTGAGAGCAAGCAGAGGACATGAGAATGGGGCATGGTTGAGTGACATTATTATTTATGGCCTTGGAACACTGTGTTATTTACAACTGAGGAGGTAGGAAACATGTCTATTTCCAACAAAAAACACACGCTCTGGGTTCATTTAGTAAGCTTACTGCAAAGCCAGTTCAGATGGTAAATCTGTGTTTTAACTCCAAATGTCGGGTTCATTTATTTACAGGAGGTCCACGTTTTGTCTACCTTAGGCAGGATTAGCTCAATGCTAACCTTTAGCAGCTAACCTGAAGCCAGCCACATGCCAGATGGACCTTTTACCAACTTCCCTCTGTATGTTTGCCTGGATTTAAGCCATTATTCATTTTAATCGATGAGTCAGGGTTTATTCGTACTCACTGCAAATCAAACTTGCATGTCTATCTTGTTTAAA